CAGAAACTTGGTGTGTCTGTGTGTCGGTCTGTCCGTCCGCAAAACTTTATGATTATGATAAAGGTATTGATATGGATAACTCAGTTCTATCCTACATTCCTCTGCATTTCTTCACTTAAAAGGGGGAGGGGGAGGGGCATTTTTGACTGCTCAGTAAATGTAAGATATGGGGACCGGTTTAGAGGAGGTGAGTGGTGTGAGGTGAAACAGCTACAACACTTATGTTCTAAAAATCAATCCTAGGTTCCTTTCCGCCGAGATCAGAATTACCTTTCATAGTTTGGAGCGTTTGTTTGATACTAGATTCTCCCTGCTTCGAGTTCACTGTATTTGCTAAATATGCATCCCAACTTGTCTAGTATTTAAATGGTATTCGAATGCTTGAAGGCACTTAAGAGGGAGGTCGATCGGCGTTGAAAATGTCTCTTTTTATTTTCGAACCCTTGGCCCGAGGTTGAGAAGCTTTGACGAGGGCATGAACTGCTCCCATTCTGAAATTCTAAAAAGGCTTGGTGATATATAGGTCGTTGATGTAAATGAAATCATTTCCACGAAATTCAAGAGAATGTTGGTGAGATCAAGTGGGATCTAAAACCCCATGAACGGTGATGCACAGCATCGAAAGCAAAATTGCGATCGGGAACTGAAACGTCATAAATTTGCCAAGTAAATTCTCAGGAAACAACAGCCTCACGAAAGGTGCAGAAGGGTCTCTTCATCGTGATCAATTGACAGACCTGAGAGGAAGTCAAGCTCGATGGTGTCAAAAACTCATGGAAACATATAATTATATGCGACAAAGTTACTCTAACCTGTTGTGATATCTCCACATCAACTTCGTCCTCGTCAACCCGGCTCTGGAAATGGAGTACTATATAGCCGTCATACGATTCATGATGAACGTGACCACTAATTAGACCTCACAGAATTCTCACCTGTTTTGATGGTTGCGTTAGTGCTGCTTGGGACTTTTGTTTCTTTTGAGCCTAAATGATGCAGGTATCGGGCTTGTGACCAACAAAAATTCCTTTCGCTAAGAGAAGTTGGATGGCGAAAGTGTGGCGCCTCAGTACTGCGTCCACACTCCTCCGAAGCGTTCTCTATTTTGTGGCATGACAAATAGAGGGAGCAAGAGAAGGGAAGAGTGTTCATGCAAGAAATGATGAATTTGTTCTTCACGCGTTAATTTGCGCACAGCAAGTTCCGGCAGCCCCGGTCTAAGTAATCGCATGCTACATTAAGGATTAGTGCTCGCTCGGGGAAATATCCGCATACTAAAGAGGAAGCATCCTTTCCTCCTGCCACATGCTTTCGTCACTACCATCAGATGTCGGCTTGTATGGTCCGAAATCTCTCGTCTACATTTGCTACTGCTCAACGAAGTTTTGCGTTGCAGCCTTCATCATTTTTCTTATTCAATATTTCTACAAATATCTGTTCATAACTAATAGTTNAAGGAGGCACGTCTGCATGTCCGTACGGGTGAGAGTAAGCTACCCCATATATCCCTGATCCACAGCGGCTATGGCCATATTGAAGACTTAGTACTGGCCCTGGCAAGACAGCGTACAGACTGTAGGAAGCAAACTCACTGCAAGAGCAATAAAACAGCAACAGCACTTCGCACACAGCCGTCTCCGGCATCGGACGGTATGGTAACCGGTGAGAGGCGAGGAAATCTCGGGTTGCGCAGGACGCCTTGTCATCAGTTGCAGACAGGCAATGCGGCAAGACCTTCAGCTATACAGGGAGAGGACACTACTGGAGGAAGTCTTGAACAGAACTAGTATGAGAAATTACCATCGAGATCTTCAAGACCACAGTATTCCACTTGAGTGTTTGAAGAAGGAGGACGAAACGCTTACAACATTGAGATTTGAGATGGAGGAAGTTACACAGAGGTTTTACACTAATTTGTACCGATCAACGATACACGTGCGAAAACCAAAAATCCCCACTGGCGGAACAGCACCTCGGATCCTTCGGAGATTGCGAGCATGAAAAGGAGCAAAACTCCAGGCCCGGACAAGATCTCAGCCGACCTACTCCATGTAGGTGGCTAAGAACTTCATGTATTTCTCGGAACACTCATGACATATTACCTCCAAAAGGAGAAGATCTCCAACCAGTGGAGGAACTCGCGGATGGTCATTTTTCGCAAGAAGAAGAACGGGATGATCTTCGCAACTACGCCTCCCCCCCAATAGGCTTGTTAAGTGTGCTTTACAAGTTGTTCACGAAGATTATTCTAACCCGCATATCGCGAACATTGGATGGAGCTCAGTCTGTAGAGCAGGCCGAATTGCGGAAGAGATTCAGCTGTTTAGATCACATCCAAGGGGTCGCAGTGGTGATCGAAGTGAGCTGAGAGTTCCGAATGCCCCTTGTCCCTATCTTTGCTGACTACGAAAGACTTTTGACAGCGTCGAATAGAATGCGGTCAGCACTGGTCGCTCAAAGGGTGGGCCCTCCCTATGTAAGAATACTAGCTAACTGCAGTAGTCGCTGCAGCTCCACAAAAAAGCTGTTCCAACGACCACACACCATTTCTATAGAGAAGGGTGCGAGGCAAGGCGACCCCATTTTGGCAAATTTCACAGCTTTACAGCAACGCTGCAGTAGGTCATGAAGTCGCTAGACTGGGACGAAAAGGGCATTCGTGTGGATGGACTGTTCTTCTCAAATCTCCGACTTGCGGACGACATCGTTTTCTATTCAAGTAGCGTAGCAGAAGCGGAAACTTGCTGAACTCAACAAAACAGGAAAGAGGCGGTAGGGTGCGGATCAAGCAAACAAAGACACATTTTATGAAGAATGCTTGGGCTGACGAAGGTTAAATCAAGATCGATGGTACACCAATCAGGGAGAGCTCATCTTATGTTTATCTTGGGTGTTCCAATATGGACAATGACATGAAGGAAGAGCCGGTGATACGGCAGAAAGCAGCGTAAGCCTCTGAAAGAAGTCGCCAACCATTTGGCTGATCCGGAACTTCGCATAACCTGTTCGGTTCCACAGTTCTTCCTGCGCTCCGTTACTGGTGGGAGATCGTGTGGACGGTGCATCCACGTCAAGGGCTTGGAACATAAGTCACAGAGCACTCGAGCGATGTCTTTTGAGGTTCAATCGGTTCCCTCCGCAGCTCCGATATTCGCGGAAAATCTTGCCTCGGCGATCCGGTGGGATTCATTGAAGGGTAGTAATTAGATTTTCGAGGCCCCACGAAATAATACCAGGTTCCTCAGTTTCTTCCGATCGAATGATTTCTTCCTTTGCTCATTAATATAAGTTGGTACCCTTCAACATAATCGCCACTGAAACCCCGTGATAGGAGAGAAAATCCACGACCTAAGGAGTAAAAACTGGTGAGGTAGCTGCCATGGCATCGTTTGACGGAAAACCCGTTTTTGAAGGAAAGGGACAGGGTTTGTTGAGCAACCCATGGCGAAATATCCAGACGTTGTGAATGATTGGTTGTAAGTAGATGGTCCATAACTGATCGCCCTCTTGCAATGTGGAAATTAGATTGAATCACTTGCTAGTTTGCTTAACGGCGACGTAACCTCTCACATTGCGAGCCTAAAATTCAACCTAAGTCATACCTATCGTGAAGCTAAATGAACAGTTTGTCGTGTAGATTGATAAGTTACGATTGGCATACATCATGAATTGAAAACTGAATTTCACAGAGGGATTTGAGCTTGGAAAAAGAAATAAAAAATCACAGAAGTAACAAGACATCGGATTTAGTACAACACGGTTGATGGTTATGCGTTCCTTTCTGTTCTGAAGAGACGCTTGAATAGCGAAAAGTAGAACCGATGACTCGTATTTGAACGAATATTGTATGGTGAAGGGTTTGGTATTTCCAGGCTTCCCGTGCCCAAGTAGAGAACCCCATCAATGGAACTGCAGCCAACTACACAGTTATCTCGAGAAATCTTTCAGGAAAATGCATTTCGATAGCGCATGAAATGCGAAAAACTAAAAGATACTTCATGCTCGGCAATGAATCCGCGCTGTCATATCGCACCAAATCCACTTGGGCACGGTGTGTCAACTTTATTGTCCACGACGTCAAGCTTAGCATTCAAAACTTACGTCCGATTCTGTAGCTGGTGACATGACGGGAAACAGGTGGCCAGCAGATCTTCTTGAACTTTGATAGTTCTGAATATTTAAATTTGTATAAAGTGAAGCCATACTCTCTTCCCCTTCCCCTCTCAGGTCACTGCCTAGCTAATAATACCGAACACCAATAGTTCAGTGGTATTTTTAATGGAATTCGAATGCTTGGGTGGATCCAAAAGATGTGTAGATCTAGCCCAAGCGTATGATGATTGGCAGAGAGCATGAACTGTTCTTATTTTGGAGATTTAGAGGTTTGGTGATATGCAAGGATTCTGTATGAAGGATGAGACTCTATCTCTGCGAAACTCAGAAGAATGTTGCTCAAAAGGATTAGGTCACATCTGGGATCCCATATACGACGAAGCTGGGCTTTGTGAGTAAAACTGCGGTCAGGAACTGAAACGTCAGGAATTTGCTGAGTCCTCTAGGAGTAATGCCTTTTCACAAAAGTTTCCTGGGTGAGGTAAGGAGATTACTCGTTATGATCAATAGGCGATTTCTGAGAGGAACTCAAGTATGATGTGGTCTAGAAATCAAGGAATCAACTAATCATTCGCGGTATAGCAGGTACGACAAACTCTGCTGAATCGCGAGCCCAGCGATCTGGGTGAACGCTCCAAACTTCATCAACGCTACTCTAACCTGCTGTGGTATCTCCACATCAACTTCGTCCTCATCAACTCGGCTCTGAAAATGGAGTACAGCAAGCCGTCATATGTTTTCATATGAATATGAACACTGATTAGGTCTTACAGAAACCCCACCTGTTTTGATGGTTGTGCTGGAGCTGCTTGAGACTTTTTTTGAGCCTAAATGATGTAGATAACAGGATTGCTACCAACCAAAACTGCCTTCTCTAGGAGAGATCGGAGAAGCACTCTGTGCAGGCTGTGCCTTTGAAATGGAGTACGACATTTCTACTCTGCGTCTGCACTTCTCCAAAGCGTCCTCATGACGAGTCAAAGTCTAATGGTTTACAATCAAAACATGAACATGGTATTACGAAGAGAAAGGGCATGATGATAGGGTCATCTGACTGTTCAGACATGAGATGTGAAATGCAAAAGACATTAATTATTTGACCAATTCAATTGGAAGCCCTATGATAGCCTCGTTAATTGAAGGCCCGAGCTCGCTGCAATGACAACAAGATATCAGCACGAACTTCACAAGAAATGAAGATTTAAATGCACAGTTCGCGATAGTTTTGGGTAGTCCAGATTATGACGAAAAATGGAGGATAGGATGGAAAATATTGAAGGCGAAGGGAGTACGCGATTCGGCGTTTCCAAAGTGGTAAAAGGCTCAGAAAGAATCGCTGAAAAGGGGGCTGGACAAGAAGAAGACCAGAAAAATGAAGAAGTGGTGCTTGGACGAGCTATACAATGGGTGTTTATGCGTACGTGTGGGTCCTGATGCGAATAGCTGATTACAGTAAGCAAAATTGCCCTTAAAATTCATTCACTCATAAGTATGAGTGACAAAAACGCTAGCACCAGCAAAAGTAGCCCAGCTTTTCTTAGAGTAGGAATTTGAAGAATCGCAGCAGCAAAAAGGATAACAGAGAATAAAAGAAGAGGGAAACATCGCCTTACTACTTAGCGATCAGCTGTTTGTGTGTGTGGGTCCTAGAGCGAATATTGCAATCTGTATCGCCTCGACACTCTTCTGACGTGGTATCGGTCAAGAGACGAGGCATCCGAGCGATCCGGTAACGGGGCGCCCACTACACCCTAGCTGTTGAGTTTTTGGACCCGACAGTGTCTTTACTGTTACCTTTGGAGGTCATTTGGTATTCTTAGAGGGAGAACTTTTTATCGTGAACTGGGCCNATGGAAACACAAGTGAGCATTAAAACTTGAAGTGAAATTTCGTCTAACCCTACTTTAGCAGTAGCCTGCCAGATATTCTTGCAATAAATAAATGAGGCAATAGCGGACCGTATACAAAACGCGCTTAAGTGGAGGAGGATGGCGCATTTGAGGTAAAGTGCCAAATAGTCCCTGATTCCCTAATAGCCTTTTTCTCCTTGCCTGGAGCCAGATGGATGATGGCGAAGCAGGAAATTGAGGCGCAGCTGTCACTGACTTCCCTACGCGTTGTTCTCTATCATTTTCGAGTTCCACCGTCGCTTATCTGATAAACTGGAACCTAAGGCCGTTTAGCAGTTTACACGAGTTGGATTTCGAGGGGAGGTGTCTAGTCAAGAAGATACAGAGAATACAACTGACTTAACAAAACACTAATGGTAAATCAATCCTCTCGCGGTCGACAGAGACCCGATGACCGAGTTTACAACGTGTAAAGGGAGTAAAGAGTACGGTAGGCTGGCAGCAACATGTTGTGGTTTCCAGGCTTGCCGACTCGAGATGAGCAACGATGATAACAAGGACGGTGGAAAGAGCAACAGCGCATGGTCATTGAGGAACGCGCAGGATCGCTGAGAAGCCGCAGCTGCAGCTACTGCCCGAGTGCCCGAAGACTGACTTACTCCATAGCATATCCACGTATCCGATACCTTCGCTTCTTACTCTGTACGCACCTCCGTTCTATTCGCACCTCCATTCTACATACTAATAAACCTCTACATACAATCTCTAATTCATAGCAAGAGCCCAGCACTTACTAACGCTAGGATCAAGGAAAGTTGTAATTTATAAGTTTATTCAGTATGCTCAAGGGGAGCACTAGATGAGATACACTTCAACTGATTATTTTTATTGTCAGCTGGAAATCAAAATCGGAAAGAGAATCACCTCAATTGGTAGCTGTCGAAGGATGAATTGTCTTGTTGGCTGCACGACTGGCTTCGGTGGAGCGGCTTGCTTGATAGGAACAGCACTAGCTGCTCTCGGTGAAGAAGTTCGTTCTTCTCGTGAAGACCGCGCTATAGGAATTTGCTTGACAGGCTCCTTCTTTGGAGACTCGGCCGATTTCTTGAACATATTCGCTCATTTGATGAGAACACTTCCTTAGTCAAATGGAAAAGGTTGCAAAGATATTCTTATCGACGACGCTGTTCATGGCAATTTGGGATGTGGGAAGAGCGGAACTGGTATGGTCAAAAGCCCTCTCGTCTGTTGAAAGATAGGAAATAGGAATTCCGATATCCCCACGAAATAATTCTAGTTTCTCCGGCTTCTTCCCACCAAAAAACTATACCATACGCTCCACAGTATGAGTCGGCACCCGACAACGTAGTCTGTACCACAAAACTCGTCACCGTATTGTAACAAGGTGGGCTGCCATAGAGAGGGAGGTATAGTGAATGACAGCTAAGTTTTGTGCGAAAAGTAATCATTCCTCTTATGGATTTGTGCAAAATTGAATATAGTATGAATGATCCATCTCGTTTCATTGTTAAGATCCCAACCCTCCGCTCAAAAACACGCACACACACTGCTAGTGCGCCCGCTTAATGCTCTTTGGGTCGGCCGACCTAACCAGTAACGCAACTACTGGCGCACATAGTCGGCCGACCATGAGAGCTGACGAGAGTACCGATCTTTGTTTGACTAGTATTTTGTTTCGATCTTTGTTCAGTATTGAATTCGGCCAATATTCTTTACTGACTGGACAGATGCACGGGTTCAGTCGTGCGGTGAACCTGCACGCTTGACACCATGCATAAAGATAAAAACAGTAAGGTTAAGTAATCCCACCTGAGGGAAGCGCTTCGACTTAAATTCAGAATCGTAGTGGCGCAATGAATGCGTATGTGGTCTACACAATGTCTTTCGGTGGTCAGCCCATGTACAGGTCAGTGCTTTTATCCTCCCAGACGAGTCTGGTACGATCGCGGAGGGATGAAAGGCTTGGTTGGCCTAGGCGTATATCGACCCGACAAACGAACCACTGACCGTGAGGGTGAAGCAGTGCGCCGCTTACCACTACACCACTTCACCGCTTCCGCCCGGAGAACGTCCGTTGCGCGTGTCCGTCGAATGTAGCTCACCCCGCCCACTTCGCGCGCGGCGCATCACACTGAGGTCTCGAGATGACATTACAGTACCACCAAGTGTCATTGGAGCAAATAATTTGCATTTGTCTGTGTTATCTTCTGTAAGTGATGCGGTGAAAGCGTGTCGATAGTTAGACGACTTTCATGACTCATCTGACTATTTCAGGGCGGAGCGAGGACGATGGAAGCTGTCGAGAAGTCGACCACACGTCTGACCGAGGGACGGTCGTCTTTCTCTGTACAGTCCTCATGCATCTTGGGACGACGTCCCTGACACCAAGACCTGTTTATCAACCTATAGTATTCTTTGCGTGCCTTTATATGTACTCTCCTGTCGTGTTATGTTTATGTCCTTTTGTTCGTATTCCGAGTTGTTATATGATGTTGTTATTATTCCTTTGTTGCTGCTCATATCCGTGCCTTGTAAAGTCTATCTGCTATGACTATTACTTTCTTAATAAAACTTAGTCAATTATTAGCCTAAGATGTACAAGCACGAGCCGCTGCGCACGCCAGCTTACTCTTCTTCTTAAACTGACTGCCGTGGACCAAACGCAAAGCGTATGCCCCAGTGACAATTACGACGTCTGTCAAATATCGCGGGCCGACTCGCCTCGTGCAACGGCTGCGGCGTAACCTAGTTTCGACGGACACGCGCAACGAAGCGAACCCCTTCCGCCCGACACCATGCGTACGCAGTGATATTTTCTAGCTCTAGTACTCCTTAGCTCTGAAAATGGGCCTTCTTTCACTAGTGTAGGTTCTCCTACTGAAAGCACTCCTCCATTTGCTTCTTTCCCGATATTACTCTCGTAGTGATTATTATCGCGCTTACGTGGAAGAGAACACGTCAAAATAAGCTTGAGAGAAGAACGGTCATCAAAGAAAAAGTGTCATGCAACTGACTGCTGGCCAAATTTCAGCGGTCCTAAGAACGGTCCTTAAGCACCGTGTGCTGCTAGATGCACTGATGATGGAACAGAACGCTTCTACAGTTCTTTTTCACAGGACTCGATCCCATAGAGTCACTTCTTCAGCTTCAGATTGGGTGTTGCCTTCCCATTTCTCTCTTACACTACAGCGCTTATCGGGGTTTCAATCAATGTTAGGCAACTATAGAGTCCTCTTGACAGCTAACAACCTTCCGCTGGGCATACGCGTTTACTTATTCAGCAGACTCTATTGTCACAATGTTTTTAAGCTGTAATACCTCATCAGACACTTCGTCGTCATCTTCTTCGGAAGAGCTTCCTTCTGATGAAGGCTGAAACGTTTTTATTTATTCATTTGGGCCTGTTGAAAACCTACAACATTCGAAAAAGATGCTGAATAATGTGAAGTTATCCCTGCGTCCTATCTTAACTGCACTTCCTCTAGGGACGTACAATTCAAAAGTGAATGGTGTCTGAGATGTAACGAGCTCCTGTGAGCCAATGAGTCATAACATTCCCTGATAAGAAGGGGAATCAGTCAAGTTGCCTACCATGGGTCCTCCTGCACGGGACCAGTGAGCTAGCGCGGCGTCCAATTTGTTTCCAATCATATTAGCGGCTGAATATACCCCATCACTCTCCCTCGCTGTTTTCTAGGAGCTTTCTACTTGCAGTATGTCCATGAAATTCACCTTTCTTGACCAGCCCCAAACCCAGTCTTGATAAGAACTTCACTCATCCTTCTTGTTGGAGATGAACCTCGTTGTAATGATTGTTGTAGAGGATAATTGCGTCTTATTATGGATTTTTCAGTTTTTACAGTCTCAGCATGGAGCTAATTTGCCTGTCTACAGCTGCACTGGCGTTTTATCCATCTTTCTACGTTAAAAGCTAGGTTTGCATAACAGCTGTTGGGAAGGCTGATGCTGGTGTGAATTCAGGCTTCCTTGACAAATAGAAATAGCTTCACCTCTTTTCTGGATTCCAATTTGAAGGCTTGAACGACTTAATCTCATCGTCTAGTGCACTGTGGCTGGTTTGACAGAAAAATGTTTCTAGTAGCTTTAGTTGATGGCATCTTTTCCACATGAATGTTGCCACTTGACCCCGATGCTCTTTTTTCGGCCACCAGGCCCTATTTTATATCCTTAGGACAGCTCTCAGTAGCTATGGAAAGAATACCGCCCCACTCCTTCATATCTGACTGCATGAAAATACTTTTTTTTTACTCTGTGACTGGCTTATGGAATTCTACCTCTGGTGGCGGTGGCTCCTTTCTGGGTGGCGGCTCGGATGGTTTCTGAATAATTTTAGATAGTTGTTAAAAATTGCAAGTAGGAACTTTTAGCTTTTTATAGGATATATCATACATCTTACCACCAGCAGAAGTACCAAAAGTATGTCTGTGTTTACTTGAACGAAGTAGAGCGAATACCAATCCTTTTGCTTAGGAAACACGACCTTATCGAGCGCTGTTATTTCGCCGTAATACGCAGTGCAAATCCTAACAAAATTGTCGAATCGTGGGTAAACCTTGCCGGTGGAAATGTAGTCGGGGGGGGGGGGGCCCC